GGGAGAGGGAGAAGCAGGCTTCCCGCCGAGCAGGGAGCCCGATGCGATGCGGGGCTCGATCCCAGGACCCCGGGATCATGACCTGAGCCGAAGGCAGACGCTTAACGACTGAGCCACCCAGACGCCCCTAGAAAGTGTCATTTAAAGCAGAAACCGGCTTAAAGGAAGAAGGCAACACCATCAATGTAAGAGAAGATGGCTCATTAGTTTAGAAAATAGCTCGAAAGCACTCTTGGTAGAAAATTCCCGGAGTGCCCCATCCCCACACAATGCAAGGACACATGGCCAAGCGACACATGGCCAGGCGCACAGGAGCGCGATGGGAAGGTGAGGAGAAAAGGAAATAGCGCTCAATTGCTCCATCCCCAGGAGTGGGGAGGGAGAGTCTTGGGAAAGCAGAAAAGAGGGGAGAAGCAGGTCAAGGTCGTGGGGAGTAGGGCAGCAAGCTGAGGCCTGAGAAGGAAGAGGTAGAGAAATTCCTTGAGGCTGGGGTGCCCGAGGAACTTGGAGACGCTGTGTAACCCCTTCACATCGCAGCTTTCTCCCTCTTAGGCTCCCTGTAAAGCCGGCTTTATGGCACCACCCTGGACCATCCTGTACTGGTGGTGCCCTCGGGTCGGGGTGACCCCGGCAGGGGCTCAGAGCGGGGAGAGCAAGAGAAGCTCTGGGCAGTGGCACAGCTTTGCCCTTTGGAGAGGACAGGAGCGGGTGGCCCAGGACACTGGGTCCTGGAACTTTGCAGGTCCCACGTGGAAGGGCCATCAGCCCTCCTGGGTCCTAGTGTCGCCTCAGTGGGTGCACAGCCGGCTGTGGGCTCAGGGGCCAGGCTGCCTGCTTCTGAAGCCCAGCTCCCCTGCTCACGGGCATGCAATTGTGAGAAGCTGCTTCCTTCCTGGGCCAGTTTTTGTCTGCGAGGTGGGCATGACAACAGTAGCGTGGTCTCAGAGACGGGTTAGGAGACGTGGGTAGCGGAGGAGATAATCCAGGGGTGGTGTCCAGCAGCATCTGGCCCATAGTGAGCTCAGTCAGAATAGGAAGTTGCCTATTCTACAACCGAACCTTCACTGTCCAGACCAGGGCTGGCAGAAAACAGGCATTAGGGGTTTTTGATGTTGAACAAATGAGCGAGCTAAAGACTTTGTCTCAGCCTCCAAACCCAGGGCCGGAGGGGCGGCTGCCAAGGGCCCCAGGCAGGGAGACCTGCCACGGAGGGGCGGCTGAGGGGCCGGGTGGGCGTCAGCAGCCTGGACAGGACTCTGAGTAAGGGGAGGGCAGCCAGACGCCCTTAGAACACTAGGCCTCCTACAGTGCATTACACGTTTTCAACCTCCAAAATTTTCAATGTCGTTTTTCCTTAATATGTAGACATTTTTAGGCTTTTGGCACTTGAGACCGGCTGCTGGTGGACTTTCAGGAGTTGCAGGATGATGAGCGCACAGAGTAGCTAGCAAACTTTGAGTTGGTAGGGAGCCCTCACACGGTAGGGAATGATCTAGAAGGAGAGCAAGAAGGACGGGCTGGGCAGGAGACAGACCGAGAGCCCTGGGAGGAGGTGAGATGACAAAGGCCAGACCCAGGGTAGAGGGGGACACAGCCCACCCTTACAGCACAGGGCCCGGCCCTAATCCTGCTGCTCTTCACCAACCAATAGCACAGCCCAGAGCCAGGCTCCCTCCAAGAAGAGGACAGGGGAGGGCACGGCCAGGCCAAGAAGAGACTCAAGCACCACCACAGCCCAAAATGACAAGTGCCGTTTATTACAATTACACAAATGGGCCCAGCCACAGGCTCGGCGCCAACCCAGGGATGAGCAGAGATGAGCAGTCACGGACCCCTTCCCCACCCTTCTCCCCACACCCTCCCCCCGCAGTCACATCCAGTCACACGCTCCGGGCAGAAAGTCCCAGTATTGAACACAGAGCACAGCTTCCCTTCGCTTGGCGGTGCATCGCTCTGCATCACGACGGCCCCCCTCCTGGAACAGCCAACAGAGCGGCTGGAAAGGTCAAATTAAATAGGCAAGCACAGGGGCTCCCAGGAGGGCTGGGCCGGGGGCCTCGGGTCCTAGCAAAGGTGTGAGGGGAGGTCCGTCCAAGGTGTCTGAGAGGCAGGCCTTGGCTCCGGGCCGCTGGGGGGGCCAGTGGGGTCCGCCGAGGCTGGGCTGCAGCCGCCACAGCCTCTCCAGCCAATGAGGAGACAGTGCTTCGAGCTTGGCAACACAGCAATTTCTATCAGGCCTTCTATAACCTTGGCTGAACCTGCTGACCTTCGGAAGAATTTTAGCAAAGACAAAAAAAAACGAAAAGCAAACCAACCAGAGGGACTCTGACCCCAGAATCCCTCCTCTTGGGAAAGATAAAGGCACAGAGTTTTTGGCCAAGTTTCCCAACTTCATCTGTGTTTAGAGAAAGGGCTGGTCACGTCCACACGACCAGCACAGACAGAAGAAGCAAAGGGCAGGAGAGTTTGCGTGACTACTTTATATTAAAGTTTATTACATTTGGAAAATCTACTGTACAGGGAAAAACCCATTGGATTAAGTAGAGTTTTGCCAAAAGCAAAAGACTATCCCTCTTTGGAACATTCCTGATTCCAGCCCAGGGCAGGGCCACCGGAGCGAATCGAAGGTGAACCTGGTCCTGCGTGGAACAGCTCCACGCCGGGTGTGTGCCAAAGCCCCTCACGTCACCTTCTGGAAGAAAATGTCCCCCAGAGGCATTTTCTGGGGCACCCAAGGCGGGGCTCGGTCTACGGGAGACTCTCTCTGGGCCCACTGCCCGTCTCCCGCCCCACAGTCCTCTCTCCTTGGTCCCTGGCCAGAGGTGCCAGGATTCCATTCTCCCATAGCTCCTCTGCTTTACAGCAGCCTGGCCACGGCGGCGGGCCACGGCCACGGCCACGGCCACGGGCACCGCTGCTCCAGCGGCGACTGCCCATGGGCAGCCCAGCCCCCGGGCCACCCGGCATACATTCCATACCCTGTTGCACACGTGAGTGACAAACGCAGAGACAACACACATACTAGGCCTGTATGTTGGCTTCCAGATTTGGTTCTCCTAGTTTAAAAACGAAAAAAACAAAAAAACCAAAAAAACAAGTCTGAACCCTGATGCTGTCTCCTCGCTGTAGATTAGGGGAAGCAAGATGGGGGTAACCGAATCAACTTACTTACCTCAGGAGTAACAAAGTCTACTGGGCTACGAACAGAGAAAGTAGAGGAAACATGTGCAAAAACAAGTTGTATCTAAAGGAGACCCCCCCCACCCCCCCCAACCCCCCCACTCCCGCAAAATAATGTGAATCCGATGGAGCTCTGAACTCCTCTCCCCGCCCCTCGGGGATGGAAACGCCCCCAGATCGGGGGTCTCCGCCAGCAAGTGCGACAGATGTGCCAGCCCCCAGCCAGCGGGCCCATCCAGGGCCAAAGCGGCAGGGTCCCCTTCCCCTCCAGAGTTGGGCCTGGGGCGGGGCTGCTCCAGGTTGGGGAAACGGGAGTCAGGAGATGCCAGGCGCTGGCTGTGGTGGAAGGGTCACGCGCGAGAAAGCCCCTGCGCCCAAGTGTCCAGGCAGAAGTCAGAGAAGCAGCGTCGAGAGCCCCCAGCGCACCCCGGGGGTCCGCGGGCAGGGCGCTGGGGGGCTCCCATGGCGGCAGGGCCTGCAGTTCTTCATGGAAGAGACAAGCGGGGGCCTAGCGAGTGGCAGGGCGAGGAGGGGCGCGGTCCCCGTCAAGCGTAGAACTCCTCCTGCTTGCTGGGCTTCTGGTAGGCTCCACCGTTGGCTTGTTTTGGCTCCTCCAAGGAGTAGCTGCCCTCGTCCTTCTTCTTCATCCGGTACAGCATGAAACCCACCAGGCACACGGCGAAGATGAGCCCCATGAGGCCTCCAGCGATGACCCCTGTGGGGGGCAGGGAGGCCGGGGTTAAGCAGCAGTCTTCCCCCACACCAGGCGGGGCCCCCAAGGCGGCCGTGGTCAGCCCCGCTCCAGGGACAAATACAGCCCCCCTCCCGCCCACTCGAGAGAAACTCACCTCCCAGCACTTCCTTCCTATCCAGGAGGCCCTGTGAGGCCTCGTGGTCCACTGGGGGCTGATTCCGCTGGTCAGGCTCCACCGCCGTCCCGGCCATGTTCTCCCCAGACAGGTCGAAGGTGAAGTCCTACGGGGGGGCAGGGACGGTCTCAGGCTGGGGTGGGCAGCAGCATCCAGTTTTATTTCCAAACCCAGAAGCAGCTCGGGCCTCCCTGGTCACCACCGCCACCAGCTCAGACACACCTAACGCAGACCTCCTGGACCCCCAAAGCCAGGCACCTCTCATCCTGTCACACCAGACCCTGGACTGTGGCAGAGATATCACATCAAGTGATACAAGACACATGTATTTATATGAAAACAGATAGGGGGACACCTGGGTGGCTCAGTCGTTAAGCGTCTGCCTTCGGCTCAGGTCATGATCTCAGGGTCCTGGGATGGAGCCCCGCATGGGGCTCCCTGCTCCGCGGGGAGTCTGCTTCTCCCTCTCTCTGCCCCTGCTCCCCCACTTGTATGTGCATACGCAAACTCTCTCTCTGACAAATAAATAAAAACCTTTAAAAGAAAAGAAATACATTCATTTTAATGTAAAGTGTAAAATTACCATGACTATAAGATAGAAAGTTAGACCGGGTAGAACTTTTATACTTGCTTGCTTAAGTTTGGGAAGCCCTCTTGCAGGCGATCTTGAAGGACTTTTTTTTTTTTTTCCAAGATTTTATTTATTCGACAGAGGGAGAGCACAAGCAGGGGGAGCGGCAGGCAGAGGGAGAAGCAGACTCCCCGCTGAGCAAGGAGCCCGATGAGGGACTCCATCCCAGGACCCTGGGATCATGACCTGAGCAGAAGATGAGCAGAACGCAGGCACTCAACCGACTGAGCCACCCAGGCACCTTGAAGGACTCTTTTGCTCTGGTCTCCTGTTTAGTCTGCCCTGCTCTGGGCTCGGCCCTGGAGGCAGGGGGAAGGTGGGACCTCGTGACCCTGTGTTCACGGTGGGGGATGCGGCGTGCTTACAGGACACGGGCTTGGGTGTGCCCGATGACCGAGCCAGCGCCCCTCAGCGCCACGCACTGTGCTCTCCCAGGCAGCGGCGGCCACCCCGAGTGGAAAGAAACACAGACGACGGCAGCGGGGGGCCCTCACCTGCTCCCCAGAGCCCTCCCCTACTGGGAGCTGAGTGGAGACTCCATCCTCCGTGGCCCTCTCGGTGGCAGAAGGACCTCTGTCCTCCACACTGGGAGTGTGAGGGTCCAGCTGGCTGGGTCCCGCCGAAGCCGAGGGCTCCTGGTGCTCAGGCTGCATGTCCCTGTGGGGATGGGAGGTGGCCGGGCCCTGGGCCGTGGTGGCTCTCGCTGTCAATGGCCGGTGAGTGGCCGGGTGCGGCGTGGTCTCACTGGGTGGGCGGGTGGCCTCCTTCTCCCGGTCGGTGAAGCCAGGCTCCACCTCGGCCACGAGCACCGCCTCTCCCTCCCCGGGCGCCTCTCCCGTGGGCAGGTCGGAGGTGGAGGTGGTGGTGTGGCCTCTGCCGGTGGGCTCTGGAGCTGTGGGCACGGCCGTCAGAAGCGCCACGTCCTTCCAGGCGGACGGGGTCTGCTGTGACAAGGTGATATCTTGCAGAGCACCTGGAGGCCCAGAAGCAGAGCTTGTTGGAGCGGGGAAGGCCTAGAACATCTAGACCGGCCAAGCTCACGCGGCGAGGAAGGCCTGGACGAGGACCTGCACTCTGCTCCCAGGCCAGCACCGCAAACCCTTTTGTGCAAAGCTGTTTCCCCAGGGGACAACTAGAGGAGGCGAAACTCCGCTTTGGAAGACCGACGAGGAAAGCTGCCCTTCGCTGCTGCACGTGCCTGGGGAGAGTGCGGTCTCGGGAGCCATGACACAGCAAGGCCGTCTGGGAAGGAACATCCCCAGTAGCTGCTGAAGCCCGCTCCCTGGGTGGGGGCAGTCTCAGGAGCCCGAACGGCTGGTCCCTGGTACACACACCTCTCCGGTCCCCTCCCTGTTCACCTGCCCTCCCCCCCAGAAAGGCCCAGCGCCCCCAAGGACAGAGGCCTGTGTCCTACCTTCCAGCTCCCAGGCCCCTATCTCGGCCACTTTCCCCACAGATGGTCTCGACCCTCTTCCAAAATCCTGCTCAAGAGCACCTCCTCTGGGAGGATTCCCCGATCACCTCCCACTCAAGAACTTCACTCCCCCAGGGAAAGGGGAAACAGGAGAAGATAAGGGAATATTTATGGAAGAGCTACACCCCACCAGGCTCTGTGTTACCTTACAGCTCCCAACAATCTTATGATGTCAAGATATATTCCCATTTTACAGATGAAGAAATAGAGGCCCGGAGAAGTCCACCTTTCCAAAGTTTGCCCAGGGAGTTAGGAGAATACGAGCCCAAGTCTTTCTGCAGCGGACAGCCCCTGGGTCCTCCTGGAACCCCAACATTCACTCCCCCAACCCATACAGGTCTTCTTGCAGCATGGACCCATTCTCTTTCCTAGCATCACCCTCCAGACCCAGCCATGGGGGCTGCCTGACCACCATCTTGGGGGAGGCCCTCATGTCAGCTCACCTGCACCGGAGCCAGAGAAGTTGTCAGAGTCATCCCCAGAGCCATCCTGATCTTCAGGGGGCACATTGGTGGCCACAATTTGCTGGAAAAGGATCAGAAAAGGGTATGAGTGGAGGCTTGGTCAAGGCCCTGCTACTCTGGGGTCCCTGTCCTAGACAGCTGAGTGAGCTCCCCCACCACACATACACAGCACAGGGAATAAAACTTTGTGTGTGGCTCCGGGACCCTCAGCTCGGGGCAGCCCTCTGGTCCCCCACACGCCCCCGAATGCTATGACGACGCAGCCCTACACCAGGTGGTGGAGGTGCAGAAACACACCAGAGAGGGCAGGGCTCTTGCCCCAAGAAACTCAGTCTGGTAAGGGAGCCCCAGACCTCTTAAAAGAGCAGCAGAAGATGCCATTACTGGGAACAGAAAGACTGTGGCCCCAATGGGACCCTGTCAGCTCACCCTACACTGAAAATCAGGTCCTGGGGCCATTGGCCAGGGAGCTTCAGGATCCAAGACTGGGGTTTTCTAGAGCCCCAGGAACAATCCCCCAGTGACCTGACTCCAGAGAGGTGCTCTCCAGGCATGCTGGGCACCAGGGTACGGACATCGAGGGCCTCACAGAGGGAGAGGTCAGGGATGGGCGCGGGACATGCCCACACAGGACAGCCCAGGCCTGACCACCGTGTTCCTTCCCATACCTGGCCTGTTTTCTCATCCACAGGAAGGACTGGGTCCAGGCCCCCTTGGGGAAGGAAGGACAGAGTGCCCATTAGGCCGGGGACAAATGAGACTGATCTCGAAGAGGCCCTGCACTCGGGAGGCACCGACAAACGGGCTAGGGGCCTGGTGGGGACCTGTGTGCAAACGGCTGTCCCAGAACCCTGCCTGCGCGGCGTAGCTCGGAGAGGCTGCTGGGGCCAGAGGCAGGAGCTGCACCTGCCGAACTAGTGAGCGGGCCCGGGAGGAGGCAAGTGACAGCACACACAGCCGAGCAGCCTGCACAGAAGCCTGCAGCAGGGCGATGTGGGGGTGTGGAGGGCTCCCCAACGCTAGTTCCAGAACGTCAGTTGGAGAAGGGAAGACCCAAGAGCCAAGTGGCAGAAAGGGTAGCGATGAGTGTTCTGTTCAGCAGCAAGTGAGTTCGTGACACGCCCATCTCTAGAGGGCCCTGATGTCAGAGTCCCGAACAAAACGTGAACAAAGAGGTTCAGAGCACACGGGGTTAGAGACCCCCTGACCTTGGCCACTTACTAGCTGAGTGGCCCTGGGGACATCACTTAACCTCTTAGGGCCTCAGTCTCTCCATCTGTAAAATGGGGACAGTAGTAATATCTACGTGCCAGGCCCATTGCAAAAACTCCCTGGGCACTCCCGCAGCAGCCACTGCGGTAACTCGGGGAGTGAGAGCTGCTCAGCATGGGTAAGAGGGTTCTGGTGCCTGCTGGGAAGAGGTGGGATGGAGGTGCTGGAGTTTCAAGGAGAGGCAGGACGGAGCCAGGTCAAAGGAGACCCAAGGCTGGGCTCCAGGGTGTGAGGCCTCCTCAGCCCAAGAGGCCTCGCTGGGTCCTGGCCACAGGCCACGGAGTTTCACTCTTGAGTGGAGCAGAGCAGGGAGGGGACAGACAAGACCTCTGGGCTCCTGAGGCTGCCTGTGGCAGAGCTGGACCAGGTGGAGGCTCCGCATCCAGGGGTTCGGGTCAGAGGGAAGCGTCTGACACATATAGAAACCACCAGGCTAGAAATACCACTGAGCTTCCTCTGAAAGTACAAAACCCAAACTCTACCTCTCCCCCTACCCCCAAGAAAAAGGTTCTGGCCCCAGAAGGGCCCGTCTGGGCTCTCGTGGCCCATGTACATGAACTGGCTTAGTCCCTGCCCTCCACCTGCACCTCAGGCCACATCCTGCCTACACTGTCCCCAGGTGGTGCTTCCAACACCTGTCCTGTCTCCACAGAGCTTCGAAGCTGCCCCTCACCTCCCCTAAGTCTCTGTACCCTTCAGGAGCAAAGAATACTACTCACCAGGCAGGCACAGAGTGGGGACCCCCACCCCAACACGCTGCCATCCCAGGCCCACAGGGCAGCTTGGCAGGGGGTGGGGGGGGGAGACACAAGCATTCAGGGGACCCCCACCCACCCACACTCCCTGAGACCCCACTTCCCCTCCCCCAATGCTTCTGCCCACCCTCACCGTTCCCAAGGAGGCCCTAGGAGATGAGCAGAGCACCTCCCCCAATGCACTGCCTCCGTTCCTTGGTCCCTTGGAGAGGATGCTCAACACGGAGCAGGTCAGGGCTCCAGCCAGAGCAACCTCCGAGGCACCGTCCTGAGAGCCCAATCTTCCAGAAGCAGCCAGAGTCTGGGGCCCAGGCCCTGTTTCACAGGTGAGTGGAGGCAGACACCGAGGAGGCCCAGCCCCTCACCTACCCCGAGAAGCCCCAACAGGTTAGCAGTTTCCCAAGAAGGGGGCCTCTTTCATCACCAGATAAGACTGTGAATCTGCCCAGTCCCTAAAAACAATTTGTTCCCTCACCTCTGCTCAGCTTATCCCTCTGCGATCTTGTTTACACAACAAGCTCTTAAGCAAACGCTTTCTCTGCTGAAACCAGCTCCCTGGCCTCGGGGCAGCCCCTCCCCTCTCAGGGCTGGGTCTCCAGCCGGGGAAGGGCTGCAGTGACCTCCAGATCCCCTCCGGCCTGAACCTTAGTGAGGGCCTCAACTCCCTGGAGAGGAAATCAGCAGAAACTGCTGAGTCTGAACTTGGATCACTAGTGCCAGATGACTCTGGCATTGTGGGGTGAGACTTCCGGTTTCACTTAGGCAGCTGTGCTAAGAGCCTGTGGTCAGCTGCCCCCATGGCCTCCTGCGGGGCTCTCCGCAGCTGTGCCTCTGCCCTAGGTCCCTCGGAGACCACCACGTGGCCACAGCTCAGGGCTGCTCGGGGACAGGTTGGCCCAGCGTGGAACCCACTTCAAGCAGCCTGGGAAGGTAAAGGCAGGCCATTTCACACCTTGAATGGGGCTCTTTAACCTCTGCAGAGTCCCAGGAAGCTCAGCTTTTCATCTAACACCCCAAAACCCTTGTAGTAAGATCTAAATATTTGCACATTCGGTTTGCTCAAAGTAAGGGCCAGTCTGCTGCAGAGCCTTTAGAAGCCCACCAGCCTAAAGGGCCAAAGCCAGGTTTGGCTCCAGTGGAGGGCGGGGGTCGTGGGGCAGACACATGGAGGCTGGGGGACAGGGCGTACGAGAGGAGCTTAGCCCATCTCCATCTCGGCCACCCTGGGCTGCTGGCCACACTCGAGCTGCGTGGGAAGGACTGAGCGAGGGGACCTGGGGCCAGGGCTCCAGCAGAGCAGGGAAGAGGCTATGAGAAACTGAGGCATTCTCCAGCGCTGGAAACACTTTCTATCCCTTTCCACCTTTACCCTTCTATTTGAGGCAGGCAGGCCTGAGATTAGCATCTGGCAGATAAGGAACTGAAACAGACAAGTTGAGGGACTTGCCCAAGGCCACGGGGTGTGGGTGCACATGCTCCCCTCACCTACCCAGCTCCCCACCCCCAGCCCCGAAAGACCCCCTGGCTGACCCATCTGGTTTAAGGTGCCTGTCTGTGCTTCTGCAGCACATGCGTGAAGATGCCAATCTCGTCGACGCAGCCGCCAGCCCCGGAGCCCCGGGATGAGAGTGTCACAGAGTAAGAATTCCTGACCCCTACCCCAGCAGCCGAGGGGACCAAGGTGCCAGCCCCCACCTCACAGCTGCCGAGGGCTGGGAGTCTGCATCGGGCTGCTGCCGGCCAATCCCAAGAACAGATCGGGAGCCTGTGGGCAGAGGGCCGGCGGAGGAGCCTCAAGGAGGCAGAGCCTCGAGCCAAGCCTGGCAAAGCTCCCACCCTGCACTGGCCATAGACAGGGCCACTCTCCTGGGCAACGTCCGTCCGAGCAGCCGCCTCGTGCTGGCTGGCCGAGAGGCCTGAGGCCGTGTGGCAGCGTCCCTCCAAGGCACCTCGGGGACAAGAGCTCCATGGTAGGGTCACAAGTCAGGATAGCGAGGGGACATTTCAGAGAGGTTTGATTGAGGATGGCGGACCCAGGGGCTTCTAACTCCGGACTAATGGAAGAGGCTGCCTGTCCACCTGCTTCCTGGACTCCCGCCACCCCATCAGCTGCAGCCAACAGGTCCAAAGACCTGTGGTTTCTAACCTACACCCTGAGTCACTAACCATGCGTCACCTGCTGCCTGACTTAAGTGATGGATAAAGCACGGATCCTTTAGAAAGCATTACTGAGTTCACAGGACTGTGTTATTCTCTCAACCAACACACTGCTAAAAGTACAATATCGTGTAAGGAGGTCACAGACTGATAACAAACAGGGTCCTTGACATCAAAACTCAGGGGATCACCATCTAGGGGCTTTGGAGAGAAAAGACGTGGTCTGGTCTGGTCCTGGCAAGCTCCCAGGGCACACAGCCAGGAATCCCACTTCAGACTTCCAAAAGGGTGGCTGGGGCACAGAGGATAACTCTCCAGGGGACACTGGGGCTGGGCCTTGAAACCCCCCAGGCAGACCTGGAGAGAATAAGACAATGCTCAGCCCCAAGTCACTAATCTCGGCAACAGTGGGAACCTCAGGAGTGTGGCAGGCTTACACATCCAGCAGGGAAGAAAGTTTAGGTATCTGGTGATCGTTATTTGTCCCAGTGGGACGACAAAGCCTGGGCTGCTGTGGTAGGAGACAAGTTACTGAATCCACAGCCCTCCTAGTCTCGAGGAAAGCCAAAGATAAAGGGGCTGGCCACAGCTTTTCCTAAGCAGCCAGCCTTGGTGCTGGCTCTAGGGCTATTGACCGGAGGGGCCCTCAACTTGCTCCAGGAGCCCAGCTGTGGGGTCAAAAGGCAGGTGGGCCCCACAGACATGCCAGGACAAACACCTATCATTCCCACCCACTGAGATCCCACGAGGTAGCAGACATTCTCAGGAGGGTTAAGAGATTCATATTTTCTTTAGAAATTTTTACCCCCTCAGTTTCTTGGTCAGATCTATGGAACTAAGGGAACCAGGTTGATTCCCTGCCCCAACACACACACAC